CAATTTAGAAAGTATAGTTTTGTTCAATCTTGAGTATTAAAGTCATGTGAGAGATAGATATCAGGGCAAAATAAAGAAACTGAAAAGAAAAATGGAAGGATTTAAACCTTTTTTATGTGAGGTCCATACAAAAAATAGGGTTGTCCATGTTTCAGAATTTGTTGTGAGTGTGAGATTTCCCGGCCTGAATTTTTTTCCCCCAGTCCACCCCTCGTGGAAATTAATGGCGCAGACATGAGGTTTCATTTACTACACATAGGCCTACTGAAGCTCGCGGTATTTTCAGCCTCTGCCGCCTCAATATATGAGTACATGAACACAAAAACATAATCTCTAGAACTGCTCTGAGTCACTTCATGAGCATTTTACTTATTTTGAGAACTATCATCATATCATATACAAAGAGACACCAATGTTTCAGGAGTTTAGTACACAGAATAGAACACATGCTTATTAGATAACCGTATTTGAGTTGATGTATATGCTTTTATTTATTTTTTAATTAACTTTTTTTTCCCCAAACCATTGTTAGATGCAGTGTTTCCTGTAGTTTTGCAAATATTTCTTATCTATTAACCATTTCTTGTCTTAACTATTTCTTAAGATTTTAAATCTGCATTGAACTTCAGATCAATCTCAAAAGTAAAACGCGGTACTAAAGTTTGATTTTGTGGTGGATGTGTTCAAATTTGATGATCTTAATTCAAGTGATGAAGGACTTTGGAAGTCTGACAGTTGAGCACTACTGTAAGGTTAACCCTGCATGGTGTAAATGTTTGAAAATTATTTGCAAATAAACATTCATTAGAAATTTAGTAAAGTAATCAAAAGAAATCAGTTACATTACTTTAATAAAGTAATTGAACAAGTTACACTACTATTACATTTTAAATAGGGTAACTTGTAATCTATAACCTTACATTTCCAAAGTAACCTTCCCAACATTGCTTATGGATTGCTCCTCACACTACACCAGCAACCTTTCAGATGAACCAGTTTGAAAATTGAACCAATTACCAGCCTTGACATTTCAACCACTAGGCCACACCACCCAAAGACAAAAATTCTAATAACAACCAAAGTTCTGTGAATTTATGAACAGAACTGTGTATTATTTAGGTTTGTCAAATGATTGAACACACACATACATTTACTTGTTGGGTTGGGGTTAGATTTATACTTTCACAACAAAATGCCTACCTCACTGCAATACTGCATTTCCGTAATTAATTTAGTAGTATATAGAATCTTTAAGTAGAATATCTTTATTCTAATTTGCCATAGTATTGTATTAAAGGAATAGTTCATCCAAAAATGAAAACAGTCATCATTTACTTACCTTCAAGTTGTTTCAAACCTGTGTAAATTTCTTTCTTCTGCTGGATACAAATTATATTTTGAAAAATGTGTGTACCCATACAGTTGATTACAATGGCGTTTTAGTGTCATGTTAAAAAAAAAAAAAAATCCGAGATTAAAATCGTAATATTTTGAGAAAAGTCAAAATTACAATAATAAAGTCGTAGCAATAGGAGAAAAAAAGTCAAAATTGCAAGAACAAAGTTGAAATATTCTTCTGCTGGATACAAATTATATTTTGAAAAATGTGTGTACCCATACAGTTGATTACAATGGCGTTTTAGTGTCATGTTAAAAAAAAAAAAAAATCCAAGATTACGAGATTAAAATCGTAATATTTTGAGAAAAAAAGTCAAAATTACAATAATAAAGTCGTAGCAATAGGAGAAAAAAAGTCAAAATTGCAAGAACAAAGTTGAAATATTTTGAGAATAAAGTCAAAATTACTAAAATTTAAATTCGTAGCAATTACAAGATTACGATATTTTGAGAGTATACTGTATATTGTGCATGCAAATGGTCCGGATTGGGAGCACCGGGAGAAATTCCAGTGGCCTGGCAACTGATTTGAATATATGTGGGATTATTAGCAGAAATCATACCATGTGTCATATACTCGCAGGGACAGTATGTTCGAAAATAATATTTCATGTCTTCAAATGCATTCATTATTTGTATTGCGCCAGCCACCCAATAATAGCAATAAGCTTTGCACTTTTGGTACTTTTAATATAAAACAAAGCTTTCAATTTCTGTCAGTTCTCTAGCGAAATACAAACAATATGTGTTACAATAATGTGCTTTTCACACGCTTTAATATTATAACTTTAATCTTGTAATTGCTATGACTTAATTCTTGTAATTTTGACTTTTTCCTCAAAATATTACGACTTTAATCTCTGTAATTTAATGTGGCACTAAAACGCCGTTGTAGTTGATGGCCCCCATTAACTTCCATTCCAGCTTGAGGGTGAATAAATGACAGAATTTTCATTTTTGGGTGATTTATCCCTTTAAATATATTTACCATCATTGTGTTAAAAGTTGATATTGTATAGACCTATGATATGTTCTGCAGTGTGGCTTAACAGACACTGTATTTTGTTCCACCTCTGTCATACAGAGAAATGACAATAAACCAACTTGATTTGACAAGCTGGGTTTATGCCTGCACACACCACCAACGGCACCACAACCTATTTTTCAACCCATTTTTAGGGAAAAAAGCACAGGCAGTCACTTGTGGCAGTGCTGGACGTCAAATAGTTGGAAATCCTGTCAATAGCAGGTCTAGTGATACTCAGCTCTTACCAATGAAAAGTTTGTGTCAGAGCTCTTGTTCACAGACTCCGGTTTGTTCTTGTGTGATGCTGTAGTCTGTCCTAACAGCTTTGCATGAAAGTTCCCTGTCTCCACAATGAAATATGGCAGTCATGTCTAAGAGACTCATTGTCACTGTTAAACCTTGAACTTTGATTTCATTACAGCCTGGGGACTCTTTGGACAGACACGGCCTTCTCTATCTGACATATTCATTTTGCCAGCATATTCATTCGTAAATGAATGCACCATGTTTTATGGTCTCAAAACAGTAAAAAAAAAACTTTGCCAGATTTACGCGTCTTCACAGCCTGTGAAAAGGGTTCATGAAATACATTGTAAAAAATTTTTTTGAAAATGTATTCTAAAATGTCTTGAACAATAATTATTCTTAAGCCTTAATTTGGCAGTTATTATTTTTTTGTTTTGTGCTTTAAACATACTACTGTACATTTAAAAATGAATACTATATAAAGAACAGAATAATAAAAAATAGTAATTTAAAAATATACAGTCGTGGTCAAAAGTTTACATACAATTTGCAGTATCTGCAAAAGGTTAATTACTTTACCAAAATAAGAGCGATCATAAAAAATGCATGTTATTTTTTATTTAGTACTGACCTGAATAAGATATTTCACATAAAAGGCGTTTACATATAGTCCACAAAAGAAAATAATAGTTTAATTTATAAACTTGACCCCGTTCAAAAGTTTACAAACGCTTGATTCTTAATACTGTGTTGTTACCTGGATGATCCACAGCTGTTTTTTTTTGTTTGTTTGTCTTGTATTGTGATAGTTGGCCATGAGTCCTTTGTTTGTCCTGAACAGTTAAACTGCCTGCTGTTCTTCAGAAAAATCCTTCAGGTCCCACAAATTATTTGGTTTTCCTGCATCTTTTGCGTATTTGAGCCCTTTCCGACAATGATTGTGTGAATTTGAGATCCATCTTTTCACACTTACAAAAGGTTCAAACGGTCACTGATGCTCCAGAAGGAAACACAATGTATTAAGAGTCGGGAGGGGGGGGGGTGATCAGGGTAAATTGAACTTATTTTGTCTTCTGGGAAACATGTACTGTAAGTATCTTCTGTAGCTTCTAAAGGGCAGTAATAAATAAGAAAAGGGATAAATGTACACAAAATAAGAAAAATGTACACATCTTCATTCTGTTCAAAAGTTTACACCCCTGGCTCTTAATGCATTGTTTTTTTTCTTTCTGGAGAATCAGTGACCATTTGATCCTTTTGTAATAGTTGCGTATGAGTCCCTCTCAGTTGTCCTCAGTGTGAAAAGATGGTTCTTACACATCTTCATTCTGTTCAAAAGTTTACACCCCTGGCTCTTAATGCATTGTTTTTTTTTCTTGAGAATCAGTGACCATTTGATCCTTTTGTAATAGTTGCGTATGAGTCCCTCTCAGTTGTCCTCAGTGTGAAAAGATGGTTCTCAAAATCATACAGTCATTGTTGGATCATTGTTCAAATATGCAGAAGATGCTGGAAAACCAAAGAACAGCGGGCAACTTAACTGTTCAGGACAAACAAGGGACTCATGAACAACAATCGCAAAACAAAAACAAATAAACAAGTATTAAGGTAACAACACAGTATTAAGAATCAAGCGCATGTAAACTTTTGAACAGGGTCATTTTTATAAATTCAACTATTATTTTCTCTTGTGGACTATATGTAAACGTCTTTTATGTGAAATATCTTATTCAGGTCAGTACTAAATAAAAAAATAACATGCATTTTGTATGATCCCTCTTATTTTGGTAAAATAATCAACATTTTTAACATACACTGCAAAGTGTATGTAAATTTCTGACCACAACTGGACACACCTACACAGACACATATATTCAGTACACACACACACACACACACACTATATACAACAATAATAACTCATGCTCTAATAACTTACAAGATGCTCTGACAACCTGAGAAGCTCAAAAAGAACATGCTTACATTAATGTTGATCTCACATCTGTGACCGGTCCATCCAACCTCACACTGACAGCTGTATGCATCAGTTTTATCCAGGCAACTGCAATGACAAAAGAGATTGTTTATGTGCCCTGACGTGCAAATTCTGCATTCATTATTTATGATTTATGAGAGATGATTTTACATGTCGATGAAGCTGCAACCTCAACCACATTTACCTGCACAGTGATTTCTGACAGAGGCTTTACAGTACAGTACATAAACACACCAGAACAGCAGGACTAATAAAACAACAATCTTGTATAAATGATTTTCATAAGTGAGGGTCTTGTAAATAATATATAGTCAGTTCATATTATAAATGTTAGAAAGTCATGTTGTACATGCCACTGCAACTCTCACACTCCTGCTTTCTTGATAAAGTCACACTGATGGTTAACTGATGTGCAAGTGCAACATTTACTAGGTTGTGATTAAATAGCTAATTTCCCGGTTTAACAGCTAATGTCGGGTGACAACACGTATCTTTTATCCACCCTAAAAACTCATAAGCAGTAAAATGGCATTATAAAATTTAAAGATGCATCTATTTATAAACCAGTGCATGTTTATCTGCATGAACTATGTCCCCTTTCATTTCTAGATTTTACAGGGCTCAACAATAAAGATGGTCCAGGGCCAGAGTGAGAGTTTTGACAAGCCAGCACAGACATTTATTGATCACATACATGTTTTTTTTTTTTGCCTTACAAAACATAAACTGTTGGTTGTGTCTGATGTATTGCATATTATTACATCAATCATCTGAGATTTATTCTATCATTGCGAAGTACAAATCTGAACTACTTCTACCTGAGCAGTAGAACAAAATATTCTTATTGTTGAGTCCTTTTATATTCCTTATTTTTACCATGATAATATGCAGTCTACAACATATAAACACTTCAAAATAACAAAGCTGAGACGTTTCCCAAGTACGGTTCCTGAGGGAAAAATCTGTCCTACCCAAACTGTTACTATTTAAGGCATTAGCACTTTATGTAAAATCTAATTATTACTGTAACTTGGTTAGATGCTCAAAGTGCAAGAAACAGCTGGTAACGTCTAATTATGTTGTGTTTACTGAGTACCAGACTGCCAAACAGCTAATTGAGAGTGAGTTGGCAAGAAGGATTGCGAGGACATTTAGTCTTTTAAAAGACTCACAGGTACCATCTCAAATACACATCGTTACAGCTCAGCAAGGTTAATGTACCTCCCATGAACACAGGGGTTGGATGAGCACTCATCAATGTTTCTCTCACAGTGATAGCCCATGAAACCTCTGGAGCACACACACTGGTAACCATCAAGACCGTCGATGCACCTCCCGTTGTTTCGGCATGGATTAGATTTGCACTCATCAACGTTCAGCTCGCACCATTTACCTTTGGGGAGAACAAAATCAATGCCATATAAATACATTACATTGAGTATTTAGAAATTCTTGGAAATCAAGGTGATGGATTTATTAAATGCCATGTCTGATATCAAGGTGAAAAAATGCATAAAGGTACGTGCATTCAAGGACCTTGGCATTGGTAGCATTGTGTTCCACTAGTCTAACTACAGAAAACATAAAAAATGTGTATAAGCATAAAAAAAGTGTATAAACAAAATTTATTTTTGTATTCTAGCTAAATAAAAACATATTTGAACCGTCTACTTATGTTTCAAACTGTTTCAAACAATGTATGAGCTATTTTCCATGTCTTCTGAAGTCAGTTTTGGATTTATGACCAAGTTGAATGACGTAAAATCCACTACAAAAAGGTTCAGTAACAAACACCCTAATAGGTCATAATTTACCTGGAAAAAAAGCTGTAAATTCAATAAGCTAAAAGAGCCAGTAAAATCTAGAGGCAAGTAAGACTCCGTAGACACCCAGGGACAGGTTGACAAATGACGGAGATAAAAACGAGAGCCAAAGAGCTGCGATACTAAAGAGCAGATAGCCATTATTCTTCCTCCCTGTAACTACACAAACAAATGGAACCATTTCCAAAAGCCCCGAGACATCTAAATAAAGAGCAAAAAGCGATCTTTTAAACATTATGAATCATACACTGATATTACAGGAATGCAAACTTAATTCACGCTTGACTACACAAATAATTCAGTCACTTCAGGCGAAAGTGACGCCATCAGGTCATGCACTGACAATAAATGAAAACTATTTATTTATTTATTTTTTTATTTATTGAAAGATATTTTGACAGATTTATTGAAGTTTTCAATGAAAAATTTATTAATATGGCAATCACAGTCCTCTATATGGGGCAACTGCACGTCATCATTTTTATATACACTATACATCTAAAATGCAATACATCTTAGCAGCATGAAAAACAAAAGTAAGTGTAAATCTGTTCATTATGACAGGATGCTGTTACTAATAGACCAAAGTAGGCTAACTGAAAGGTCTCTGATCCACAATTTCATTTAAGCATATTTGGTGGTGAACATTTTTCATGATTCATCAATATGAAATCTTGATTATTTATTTGATTAAAGTGGTACGAACGAACAGTTATCATGTAGGTTATAGCTTTAGATGCTACATCATCAAATAATATAACAGACAAGACATTGTATCAACTTTCTTTTCATGCAAAGCCGCCGATCTCAATGAAGGAGATGCTTACTAGATCCAAGCAAAATTACAAATAACGTAATTTCACCGAACGAAGCACATAACGTGGTGTGCCTGAGCATCACACCATTTCAATTTAAAAATAATTTTGCTGCAGATCAGCCACAGAGATACGTCGGATGGCAGGCTGCCGCATATTGCCTTTTGTATCTTTGATTCCACCTTCTCGAGAAGTTGCAATGCCGTTACATGTCTTATTAGGGCAAATATTTCCTCTGAGCCCCAGTTGGTTGAACCAATCCAGAATATATCCTCCAGCCTGAGCTCTCAGGGGACACGTCCAATTCCTCAGATGAGCTCAGAGCTGAGAGGAAAGTAATGACTGGTGCAAGGCAGAGTGGGGCCTGATAATAAAAGAGGTTTCTGTGGGAATTAGGGCCTGTGTGTCAGGCTGAGCTCTCCCAGGAGTTTCCATGCCTCTGAGATTTCTTTCTTTCCTCTCAGCAGGATGAGGATAAATTGATGATACAGTACAAAAGACAAACTAAATTAATCTTCAAGCCGGCTGATGGCGATTGAGATTACACTTATTTTTAAAACAGCATTGATAAGTGGGCTAGCAGAGTAATGGCCTTAGTATTCGTAGGTGATTGTACATAAACTGAGGTTCTAGCACACATGCGTTTAGATGCAATAGATACTGACATGTATAATGTCAATGTATTGACGTATCTAAAGTGTAAAATATTGTATGTACAGTATGTACAAAGGTGCAAATGTTTAATCTTTCCCAGTAGGTTGATTCTATTTTATTTATAAAAAAGAAAACAATTAAAGAGTAATGTAATACTTGTTGAGCTTTTATAATACCATTCAAACGTTTAAGGTCTAAATTTTTATTTTTTCCATCGAGATTAAAAATACAGTAAAAACAGGAATATTTTGAAATATTATTACAAATTGAAACAAATTTTTTATTTTAATGCATTTTAAGATATGATTTATTCCTGTAATGGTAAAGTTGAATTTTCAGCATCATTATTCAAGTCTAATGTCAGACTCTGTTTCGTGTTTTGTGTGGGTTTTGCTCCCCATGTGTTTCCATGCCCTTATTTGGTTTTCCTGTTCCTGCTGCCTGATTGTTTCCCATTTGTTTCCAGCTGTGTTTTCCCTCATGTTATTATGTTTCATTAGTTTCAGGTGTTTCTCGTCATGTCTTGTGTATTTAAAGTGTTCCCGGTTCTTAGTTCTTTGTCTGGTATTGTATGTGTCAACCTTCTCAGCTACGTGTGTTTTCCTGGTTCCTTTGAAGTCATTAAAATCTCCTTATTGATGTACTCTTCGTCTCCTCGTTCCTCGCTCCGCGCTCCAACACAATAGCAACGTGACAGAATACCAGACCCAAAACAGTAAGCGGTGCCCCTTCTCCCCATGTTTGTTTTTTGTTTTGAAAGTCTTTTGTTTTCCTGTGTGTTTCTCCCCACGGCATAGAAGTAGATGCTCGTTTTATTGCCCTAGCCCACAGAGATCTCCCCTTCGTGGAGTATGTGTGGGAGTTCAGCAAGATCGCCACAAAAACAGGTCTAATGGATGACGCTACGCTTATCTCTCTGTTCTGGATCGGGGCTAATTGCTATCGCCTCGTGGACCTCCCAGACACCACAGGACTGAGCTGGAGGGAAGGGATCCTCCGGTGACTGGAGAGCGTCCAGCCCCGATCCAGGACCAGCCTGCCGGCCGTTCCTCAGTCAAGCCCGCCGGCTGCTCCGAAGTCAAGGCCGCTGGCCGCGGCATTCCCAAGCCCGCCGGCCGCTCCAGTGTGAAGTCCGCCGACCATGCCTTTCACCCCGAACCTAAGGGGAATCTAAGGAGGAGAAGGCGGTTGGTTCTAGTCCCTAGGCTCGCTCCAGTGTCGGCTCCAGCCCCAGATCTCGAGTTTAGCCCAGAGAGGGCTCCAGACCCCTAGTTTAGCCCAGTGAGGGCTCCATTTCCCGAGTTTAGTCCAGAGAGGGCTCCATTTCCCGAGTTTAGTCCAGAGAGGGCTCCAGTCCCCGAGTTTAGCCCAGTGAGGGCTCCTGTCTCAGAGTGTAGCCCAAGGAGTGCTCCAGTTCCCACGTCCAGCCCAAGGAAGGCTCCAGTCCCCAAGTCAAGCTCAGGGAGGGCCTCAGTTCCCGAGTTAGGCCTACGAGAGGCCCTCTAAAGACAATGTTCTCCCCAATGATTTGGGGGGGGGGAATAGGGGTTGGTCCGTGGAGGCCGGGCCTAGTGCCGAGAACTGTCTGCTCCACCATGGCTTCCTAGTCTGCCTGCTCCGCAATGGCTTCCTAGTCTGCCTGCTCCACCATGGCACACCGAACTGCCTGATCCACCCTGGAGGTATTCCCCATGTCCCAGTCCTGCACCAGCCTCCAGGGCACCCACCACGCGCCTTCTGGGAGGGGGGGGGGGGGAGTAATGTCAGAATCTGTTCTGTGTTTTGTGTGGGTTTTGCTCTCCATGTGTTTCCATGTCCTTATTTGGTTTTCCTGTTCCTGCCTCAGACGAAGAAGTGATGATGTGCGCTACCGGCGCCTATTTTGTACTAGTTGCGACGGTAGTGACGTCATGGCTGTCGCCGGCCAAACAAGTTGGTGTTTTTTCAATGTAGGCTTCAGACACGGGTCACGACGAGGCGTTCCCCATAGCGACCCCTAGAGGACGCAGTGTCTCGTTCCCCTCAGGGAACCATGGTTACATAAGTAACCCGAGACGATTTCATTCATAAGCAAATTTGGCATTTAAAAAAATCTTTATCCTTTTTAATCTTCCATCATTTACTACTAATAAACAACAGCCAGGATATAGGTTTGTTTCTGAGTACTAAACTTACTCACCTGTCAAGTTCATTTCTGTCCAGTTTTCAGAAGATTCGTAAAGATTGTATGTTTATAAAGTGTTTAAATTTTAGATGCGTTCAATATGTTGACATTGTATAATTCAGTGCCTATCCAAACATACAAAAATTAATAAATGTCCACGAATAAGAATGAGATCACCCCGGGGAAAGAGGAAAATAGCGAAAGAAAAAAAGGACTGAGGAGATGAGGAAGTACTTGATTAAAATGCAGAGGATGAGGGGGAAGTGTTTAGTTAACTCGAGGTGAATCTGTGTGTGTGTGTGTGTGTGTGTGTGTGTAGATATTGGTGGGAATGTGGGATCTAATTAAAGTGGTAAATGTGCTGATGAGCTATTTGTGTGTTCTTTCCACTGAGAATCTGTAAGGCTGGGGGAACGCAGCCCATGTAGACACGATAAGCCCTGGTTTCTCTCATTGATTTTGTGTCTGGGGCTCTGGCCGAGGGGGACGTACCTGAGAAGCCACTATGGCAGACACATATGAATCCCCCAGGTTTGTTGATGCACACAGAGTCATGGAGGCAGGGGGAAGCTTCACATTCGTTTATGTCCAGGTTGCAAAGCTTTCCAAAATATCCGGGGACACAGTTACACTGGAAACTGGAAATGCACAAAAATAACATTATTAGCTAAATCTTCCTTTTAAAATCCCTGGCTGTGACACAGATGTCTGCCAAACAAAATGGTGCAATATCTGCATGGAGTGTTTTTAGGAAAACTGACAGACAGGGAAAGGTCTGATTGACAGCAAAAGATCTAAACTGTGTCTGTTAATCATGACTTTGGCTGCTGCTATCATCGGACAAAATGACTGACAAACTGACTCTGTTTCAAACATGCTGTCACCTGTCTAATCGATGAGGACTTGGCCAGTAAGTGATTTTGTGATGGAAGAGATCTCTTGTAGCATATATTCACAATTGAATTTTGTTTCCAGCTGTGATTTTTTTGCTGGCTTGTTTTGTTCACTTTAGTGTTATTTTTTATATTTTCTCTTAATTCTGTACAGTATGTTCTGCTGGGCTTAGTACATTATGTCTATGATCTTTTGAAATAAAAGTGTTTAATGCACTATTAAAAAAATATGATATAACTTTAAGATCTCCATTTACTGAACCCTGCTGGAACTTTTTTAGCAACAATGGCTGGAATTTACTTCTGTAAATAATGACATATACATTATATATAAACACCACCATATTTTTTAACGATTCATTTACATTTACATTTATTCATTTTGCGGACGTTTTTATCCAAAGTGACTTACAATTGAGGAATACAACAAGCGATTCTTCACAGGAAGTGCTTGTAATACAAAGTTTCAGACCTTGTTCAGATTAGTACAAGTACTAGACAGGGGGGGGGGGTTTAAAGATGCAGTCGAAGTTTGACAAAAGAGATGAGTTTTCAGTTGTCGTCATTCAGCATTCTGGATGGGGGTGGGAAGATCATTCCACTAGCCATGAACGGTGAATGAAAACATTCTGGAAAGTGATTTTGTGTCTCTCTGTGATGGTATCACGAGGCATCGCTCACTTGTAGATCTCAAGCTTCTGGAGGGGATGTAGATTCGTAAGAGTGAGTAGAACGAGGGTGCTGAGCCTGTGACTGTTCTACACCGCGAAACCCTGGTTTATATAAACATGAGCTAGATGGATATCTTTGGCCATTATAGCATAATTGTTTTCATTCTATGCAATGATATCAACGTTTTTTAGACATCATGACAGGTTAAATCCAGGTCAGGTTATGATACAGAGCCAGAAAGAATGTGAAAAATGGTAATGAAAAACAATTAGCATTTTTGGTGAAATAAAACAGAGGGGAAAAAAAGACACACAAAAATTAATGTCAATATCCAATTAAAAATATTGCTGTAGAGCAATATAACTGTATTTCACATGTTTAAGAACCCTTGGGTACAAATTTGGCATAAGACATTTACTTCAATATAGTAATGTATATGTTACTTGCAAAAAATATTCTGTAAGAATACATGATTATTTTAAACATTTATCAATGAAAAAACATTTTTTTTTTGCAACCAGATTGTGTAGTTACGACATCTACCAGCAGGGGCATTCTGGACCATGCAAACTAGCCAAACCTTGACCTCCTTGGCCCTGAACAGCATCCTGCATGCTGTAGCCTACAAAGGATCTCAAAGCAAACATCTGTAAACTACTATTGTCAGTAAACTACATACAGACACACCGGCTTCTGACAGGACAAGGTAAAAGAGCTCCGCTGAGAACGATCTCCTCTAAAGCAAGCCCTGCCATGTCAAAAGTGCACTTGTGTGGAAGAGAGTAAGTTGTGAGCAAACGGAAACACCTGAAGAGAAATCCCTCAGATGGAAGCAATTCCACAGGAACGCTGGGAGCAGATGATCACAGGGGAGTCCGTACATGATAGGAGACAAAGTGGAGACAAATCATTTAGCACTCAAATTGGCCTCGGGACTCCTCTGCCCATATGTCGAACTGAACCAAGAGCGGCCCTGAAGCACCCATTAAAGCACAACGAGGAGAAGATCTAGTAGAGGAAAGCCAAAATAGAGGCATGATGCGAACCTGCTGAACTATTCTCACTTGTGTTTAGACCAGCAGCTTACAGTATATATGTCAAGGATGAAAAAGGACCTTCATTATAAGTCGAAGCACTTTAGACAATAATACCAGCATCTCTCAAACGTGTCTCATTTCTAGACCGTCTAGTGAAAACAAAAAGTTCAGACAGGATACTTGGGCTCCTATATCATAATCAATTTAAGGGGGTTGTGGTACAGTGTGGAAAAAGTGTTGTCATGGTACTTACCCGTTCACAAGGTCTTGGCAGACACCTCCGTTCTGGCAGGGGTTGGATGCACACTCATTGATGTCTTCCTCACAGTGTTGGCCCGAGAAACCGGGCTTGCAGAAACAGCTTTGCAGAGATGACGAAAGGAGGATTGGTTAACAGTTGTGAGAGAAAAAAAATCACTTGTTTATCTGGAGTTACGTGACCAAAATGTGATTTTATATTGCAAGACCAACAAGACATGATAATAATAAACTATTTAAATGGCTGTTAATATGATAATGATAATAAAAACTTAAAATTCAACCATATATTCAGTTTATTTCAATAAAGGAACCTTTTGTTATTTCCAGTTTGAAAAGTTTGCTATTTTAGCCAATATATTAAGACATAGACTACTGTTTAGAGTAAATAAGGGTAAGTTTGGGGTCTGTAATTAAATGTTTTTGAAATAAGTGCTTATGCTTCTCAAGGCTGAACTTATCAGTCTAGAGTAAAAATGGCAATATTGTGAAAAATGATTGCAATTTTTTAATTAAAATATTAAAATAACAGTTTTCTATTTTAATATAATTTCAAAATGTTATTTTTTTCTTGTGATGGTAAAGCTGAATTTTAAGAAGCCATTACTCCAGTCTTCGGTGTCATATGGTCATTCTGAAATCATTATATTATTTGGTGCTCAAGACACATTTGTTATTATCATAAGCACTAAATACAGTTAATAAAACAGTTAATATTTTTGTGGAAACTGATCATACTTTTCAGGATTCTTTGATGAATAGAAAGTTAAAATGAACAGCATTTATTTGAAATGGAAATCTTCTGTAACATTATAAATGTTTTTATTGTCACATTTGATCAATTTAAGGCACGCTTGCTCAATAAAAATAGTAATTTCTTATTATTAATCCATGACCCCAAACCTTTGATCAGAAGTGTATATGACAGGTGCCTAAGAATGTACTGCATATTAAGACCGACCCAACAAAATGTGAAGATATCACAGAGGAAACTACTGACTGTTTTTCCATAAATAAATGAATAAATATAAACATAAAAAAAAAAAAAAATGGTTGTCATCTCTATTGTGTTACAACACCTGAGTTTCCAAAAAACTACAAGGGGAAAAATTAATGTGGCAAACAAGCTAAAAATGGACCTTTCTGATAAATATACACAGTATTATGTCTGGAAAATAGAAAACCTCAACTGTGCTAAAGTAAATGGGCTGCTTTAGGTAGAATAACAACTGAGCTGAAAAAACAGAAGTCAAGTCAGAATTTGACCTCAATCCAAATAAATGTGGAGCCAGGACCTGAAATGGGAAATTATTATTCCTTACATATTTTTTTAAAGAATTTAAATTTAAATAACCTGGTTTTATTTGGTATTACTGTATGTATTTTTATGAATAAATTAAATATTTATACATATTTTGTAATAAATAATAACATTATTATCGATAATAATTAAAATGATAAAATATTTATTTATTTATTAGCAAGATCATATTTTATGAGCAATTCTTGCAGAGATATATTTCAGGACAAATATTTCAACAGTTGCTAGTCACTGTATGTTGATATTGTCTTGTGAGGTCTTAAAGGGATAGTTCACCCAACAATCACCATTCTGTCACTATGCTGTTTAGACTGTTTGCACATTCTGTTGGATTTTTATGGTGTTGTTTGTTCTTTTTAGAACTAGACAGATGTGATAATTGTGAACTATCATTTAATGGAGGAAAAAAAAGCTACATAAGGGCTTCTTTTGTGTTCCAAGCAATAAATAACTCCATACAGGTTTAAAACTGCATTGGAGGTGACTAATTAATGGCATGATTTTCATTTTTGCGTGAGCTGTCCCTTTAACACAAAATAGTGCCAGAGGGCTACATATCTGCTGAAAGACAAACAAACATAACAGAGAACTAAAATTAGAAATAAAAAGCAAGAAGACCTGTAACTGTTGACCCCATCCACACAATGGCCTTGGTTCTGACAAGGTCTTGAGACACAGTCATCGCTATCAATTTCACAGCGAGTTCCCTCAAACCCTGCAAGACAGATGAGACGGTCATGGATCAGTAAGTCTCACTGCTCCTTGAAAGTGTTAGGATCAATGATAACAAAGGCCCTTGGTGAATGCCATCTTAATGGAACTGTGCACCTCCCTATAGTTCATCTCATCTGCCAGACCTCGTGCTCCTAGCGTCTCCTCCGAGGACTATAGCGGCTCTAATAATACCTCAGTGCCTCCACAGATTAGGCTGAGGGCTCATGGTGGAAGCGTGGAGAGGATCTCGTTAGGATGGGGGAGACGGAGGAGGTGAAGTTCAGGGGACTCTTTGCTCGTGTTCATTACGAGGATGAAGGGGAGGAGGGGGTGTAATCAGTTCAGGGCTCTTGTTGGGGAAAAGGTCCTGGGAGACGTGAATATTCAGCTTTTTGTAGGAGCGCTGCCGCAGTAAGCTCATCCTCTGCTCAGCAAGACGCTTTGTCCCTGAAAAAATGCTTTAGAGTCAACATAAAATCAAAATGTACCTTTTTACTTTAATATTCGCTCCTATTGTGAATGAAAAAAAGTATTTGTACTGTAACCTTAAATTGACATTTTATAACTTGTTTCTTCCTCTGATACAACTTTCCTTTTCAGGTTATGTCACTTACAGTAGACCACACAGGCTATTGAATGATGTTACTTTCATAAGTTTGGGGTCAGAAATATTTGTTTATTTATTTTAAATAACTGTTTTCTATTAAAAGTTTAAGATTAAAGCAATCCTTTAGAAATCATTTTAATATGGTGATTTGTAGCTCAAGAAGCATTTCTTATTATCAGTTTTGAAAACAGTTGAGCTGCTTAATATTGTCATGGAATGTGCAATAAATGTTTTTTTTCCAGGATTCTTTGACTAGAATAGAATAGAAAATTCAAAAGTACAATTTATTTGAAATAGAAATCTTACAACATTATAAACATCTTTACTGTCACTTTTGATCAGTTTAAAGTATCTTTTCTGAATAAAACTTAATTTCTTGTAAAAAATCTACTAACTTCTAAACTTTTAACACACACAATATATATATATATATATATATATATATATATATATATATATATATATATATATATAATACTATCGCTATTGTTTTGGTAATTCTGGCACAGGATTTTTTTTTCATGCAAAATTTTCTATTTCACTTGGATTTAAATTTAATTACTATACTGAGCGAGTTGCAAATTCTAAATGGCAAACAATGCCCTTATGATAAAATGACTCTTTTAAAAATATTTTTTATGCATATATAATTACTGCATTTAATTTAATCTTTCACAGACCTTTCAGAATTCTTGTGAGCTTATTGTCTAATTGGTTTAGTGTTGAGAGCAGATGTTGCACAACAGTGGAAAGACAAAAATGAAACCTCTAGCATTGCTCATGTTTTTAGAAACGCAATAAATTTGATTTCATTCTAAGCCACCACTGAATATATTTACAGTTTAAGTAAGCACACTTTATATTCTAACACATGCAGCAGAACATCTACTGTACCTTATCTTCTCCGAAGCATTTCAAAGCACAGACTACTTTCACACATTAGAGATGACTCACAGCAACAATAGAAAGCCAAATTAGTATATGGTCTATATGCATGCCATGAATTATTGCCTAAGGTGTTAAAGCGTCTAGAGAAGAATTTGTTAAGGTCAGATTATCATTACTGTGACCAAACTGCTGCTTTGTAGGAGCACGGAGCGAGGAGACGTAGGAGAATTTTACTAATTTTAATAATCAAGAAGAAACAAATAAACACACTTAGCAAGGTTGACATTAACAATTCCAGACGAGGGAGAACAGAACGGGCTTGAACTCAAATAGGTCAGATAACGAGGGGCAGACAGGTGATGAGGATAACTAATAACAAGGAACAGGTGATTACCAATAATGGGGAAAGGAACTGGAAGGACCAAATAAGGACAAACATGAACACACACACACACGTGACAGATATCCCGGAAGTAACCCCAGAATAACAGCACCATCGGGGCAGGCGCCCTGGAGGCTGGTGCAGGACAGGAATAGGGCGGAGACCAGGAGAGCCTCCAGCGTGGATCTGGGAGTTCAGGGGGCCATGGCGGAGCAGACTGTTCGGGAAGCCACGGGCGGATCAGGGAGTTCAGGTTGCCATGGCGGATCAGGAGACTCAGGGGGCCATGGCGGAGTAGACAGTTTGGGAAGCCATGGCGGAGCAGGCAGCTCAGGAGGCCATGGCGGAGCCTCCGTGGCTTTAGCTGGCTTGGCCACAGGTATATGGCCCCCGCCCCCCAAAAAAATTTTTGGGGGGCGCTCTGGAGGAGAGGACACTTTGGGGCGCTCTGCAAGGTGCTTTCGAGGAGCCGGCTCTGGAGGGCGCTCTGGAGGGCGCTCTGGAGGACGCTTTCGAGGAGCCGGCTCTGGAGGGTGCTTACGAGGAGCAGACCCTGGAGGGCGCTCTGGAGGTGCAAGGCTGGTTAATTCGGGGGAATCAGGAGACGAAGGATGGCTGGATGGGACCAGCGGAGATGAAGGAGAACTTTCCGGGGATGATTCCAGGGAGAGGAAAGGAGCCGAGAACTCCGGAGGCAGCGCCATGTCCAGAAGCACAAAGTCAGCGGCGGCCGGCGGACTTGATGGAGAGCTGGTTCTGGATCAGGGCCGGACACTCTCCAGACACCGGAGGATCCCTTCCCTCCAGCTTAGTCTAGTGGTGTTTGAGAGGTCCACGGGGCAATGGTAATTAGATGGTAATCTAATAAATAGATCCAGAACAAAGAGTTGAGCGTCGCATCATCCAGCGCCGTATACATGGCGAGACCGCAGAACTCCCGTGCATAATCCTCAAACGGGAGATCTCTGCAGGCTAGGGCCGAAAATCATGCAGCGGTTTCCATTGCCACCAGGGAAAACAGAGAAACAAAAAACTTTTCAAAAACGGAAAAGAAACACGGGGAGGAAAGGCGCCGCTCACTTTATGTCGGTCTGGAATTCTGTCACAGAACTGCTGCTGTGTAGGAGCACGGAGCAAAGGAGCGAGGAGACGTAGGATAATTTTACAAATTTTAATAATCAAAAGGAAACAGAAAAACACACGTAGCAAGGTTGACATGAACAATTCCAGACGAGGGACAACAGAACGGGCTCGAACTCAAATAGGGCAGATAACGAGGGGCAGACATGTGATGAGGATAACTAATAACAAGGAACAGGTGATTACTAATAATGGGAAAAGGAACTGGAAGGACCAAATAAGGACAAACAGGAACTAAACAGGAACACACAAACGTGACAATTACCCAGTGATATTTTTTTTTTGCTAAAAATGTGAAGAAAGGAGAGTTTCAGGGCACAAAACCTTCTGTAAACTCATCAATATAGGATTTATGACTGGAAGTGTACTAGTTTTTCCAATTTCATTTCAGATATCATCCTTCCATTAGATTCTATCAAACACAATTGAGAATTGGGTCTCTGCCACTATGGATGCACAGTACAATATCTGCTGGATTATATACAGCTGGCACCGGCCCATGATGAACTGTCAATCACAATGTCTCTGGGGACAATTTGGAGTGTCAACATTAATGCATCTGCAGCAAGAACACACAGTGAGACTGGAGTTTCTTCACTGTTAAAACATAGAGCAAGATACCTGTGGCTTGCACAAATGTTCCATCATTCTTTCCCAGCATCCTCTGTGCACCCCACAAAGCCGTGCAGGTAATCCCTGGGACAACTCATCCTTCCAAAGTAAATATGAGACTAGTTTGAAATTTAGCCATGTCAACACAGCCATCTTGGCTTGTCTTGGTGTTTGAAGTTCACTGTTAGTCTTGAGACACTGAGAAACAAGTAAGTCTGAAAACAAATAAAATCTGCATTACACGAACATACAATAAAAATCTAATCAAATATATGTCCAGTTGGTCCCACATTGTCATATCTATATTTGGATTTAACTAACATTAGTTTTTTTTAATATATGAAATTTATTTCAGTCATGACAACTCTCAGAAGGATTGGCATGCTAATGTACATGACAATGTTAATGAATTTGGTCTTGGCAGAATAGATCTGCTACGCTGCTGCTGCTGCTGTGGTGGCAGAGCAAGTACCGAGACTTACTACTGCCAATACATCCACAACATGCTGCTGTGAGCATGTAAGAAATATTGCTGCTGCAAATATAACATACATGAAATAACCCCATGTAGCATACATGAATCACCTCGTAGCAGATCTATACAGGTGGAGCTGGGGAAGGTGGAGGGTTTCTGAAGCAAGCTGCAACTGCTACAGCAAGCAATAGTCATTTATTCGAATGTTGAGCAGCAAGCTCATTGGCTACCGATACAGGAGAGTACCTATCAGCTGTGCCATGTGATAATGATGTCATTAGGTCAGATGGAGTTAGACCTATTTTAGAGTTTCATGCCAGAACTCTGTAATTAGTTATAAATAAATAAAATTGAACATGGCCAAGAATTGTTGGTCGATGTGAGTTGTACTATGCACAAACAAGCACATTCTTTAAATTTTAAACCAGAGTCATTAACTAGTTTGATGAATTTATCAAGGTGAACAACAGTCATTCCTATTATTAACAATCTTTATAAATAACTAAGATTTATGGAAGCAGTCTTAAAGTAACAGCATACAGGTAATTAGCCTTGGCCCATGATCATCAATCTGAAAGACATGAGCAAAAAGGCCAAAGCTAAATATTTATAATAACCGGTGAACGTACACGAAGCAGAATGCACAAAGTGAGAGATTCCAGCTCAAAGGCTAATTGTGATGAAAGACACACACACACACAATTTATTTATCTAAATATAATTAAAGGATAAATGTGTTTGACTTAAAGAAACTCTACTTAACCGTCTGCATTGTTCACAGGTCTGAAGTACGTAGGCTCTTCCTGGCCTGGGAAAGCGTTGACAAGTTAGACAGTTCTTAGGTGCCATTATATTTTTTCCTTAGCCTATTATTTCAAACTATTATTAATTGCGCAT